AAAAAAAAAAACAAAAAATTGGAGCTGGGTTCGAGGAACCCAGTTTGCTGGGTCCCGAGAACCCGAGCTGGGTTCCGGTGGAACCCAGTTGTTGGATTCCTCGAACCCAGCAGACACAGAGGAAGAACCCAGCAGACAGAGGAAGAGGAAGAGGAAGAAGAGGAAGAAAGAAAAGGAAGAAAGAAAAAGAAAAAAAAAAAAGAAAGGAAGAAGATGATCGAAAGAGGGGAAGAAGATGGATGAAGAAAAGAAGATGGGTAAATTTGTAATTTTATATTTTTTTTTATTAAGGTAAAATCGGTTTATGAGTTGGCAATGACGTGTCTTAAAAAAAATTCTAAATCAGCGCTTTTTTAAATTGTTTCTGCCATGTCATCAAAAAAATTATAAAAAATGCCACGTGTCATAGTTAACGGTCTAAATTGACAGAAGGACTAACGGAGTACATTTCTTATAGTTGAGGGATCAAAAGAGTGTAAAAAATTATTGAGAGACCAAAAATGTGCAACTCACTAAAGTTGAGGAACCAAATTTAACATTTAACCTAAATAAAAATATATATTATCTTTAAATTTTTAATTTAAAAAAATAAAAAATAATAATCATTTTAAGACAGAACGAGTACTAAAATATGTAGAATAATGTATAATAGTTTAACTAATGACCTAAAACCTTGTTGTTTTAACACCTTAAAACAACTAAAAGGTTGTCAGTTAAAAAAATAATTGATTATAATCATCAGTTTAACCAATTAATTTTTTTTTAACAGGTACAATTTGAGGGTAAGGAGATGAAAAATTTTTAATATGATAGTATCATAACTCAAATTTTGATCATTCGCAAGGCATTGAGTGCAGCTAACAACTAGCCTATTAATATAGGGAAATGATTAGTACATTCTCTGATTCAACACTCGATTTAATATCCTCTGGTTTAGTCATTAAAAATATAATATAAATATAATCAATTTAACCGATTCCTGTATCATATGTACATGATTGTATCATTATTTATTTTGTTTTTAATTTCAGACTAAAAAATAGTAATTTTTTAATGATTAAACCGGAGAGTATTGAATCGGGTGTTGAACTGGAAGGTGTACCAATTACTATCCATTAATATAACATCAAATTTGAATTTGAGTTCTAAAGAACTTAGTTTAATTCTATTTATTTATAACTTTACAATAACTCAACTCATTAACAACCCTAACTCCAAGATAAACACTATTCATTTCTTTGGCATTGATAGAATACATAAGCTCTATGTTAGAAGTTGTTTTCCCTTTCATCAATTTCGTGGTTTTTTTCTTTCAATTCTTCGCTGATGTGAACAATTTTCTCTTACACTTAAATTAATCTCAAAACTTGATGTCTTTTTCCTATCCAAAGCCTTTTCAAGATGTAAGGAACCACTTAAGAAATGAAAATTAGAACTCTAAATTTTATTTTTTTTATTTTAAGATTTCTCCCAACATGAGTCGTCACCCTAAATTTATGTGATGCTTTTCTTTTCCTTCCCTCAACGAATTATTTCCCTAACTTCTCTTCTTTATGTTACTTTACTTTCCCTTATTCTTTCAGCTCCTTACCTTATTCTTTTTGTCATGCCCCAGAACCCAAATCCGAGACGCGACAGACGCCGTGCACTCGTGAGACGGGTCCCACAAATGCACAAGGCTCGGAACTTATCACATTCACACTCTGATACCATCAAAATCTGAAGATCAAATTATAAAATCTCTCTGATATCATAAAATCTCCAAATACAAGATCATGATT